AGGGATGGCACAGGGCCCAAACTAGGAGTAGAGAACAGCGGTGAATGTGGCCGGGGGAGTCAAGGCGTGGAGGGCTGTGCGATAGACCCACTCCAAGAGGCCTGAGGATAGGAGAGCAGGCCAGGAGAGTTAGCCGGTGGTGCAGGTCCAGGGAAGCAGAGAGAGGTGAGGGTGGGGCCAGGTCCAGAAGCAGTGCTCCTGGGGCCCAAGGAAGGCACCAAGCTGGGCCGTGTGAAAAGGATCAGGAAGCAGCCCTGGCTCCCCAGGTGTCTGGGGCCCCAAGACTAGGAATGGCACAGGGCCCAAACTAGGAGTAGAGAGAACAGCAGGGGAGATGGAAGGGTGTACGCGGCTGGGGGAGTCAAGGCGCGGAGGGCTGCGCTATAGACTTACCCTAAGAGAGGCCTGAGGGCAGGAGCGCCAGTGTCATATTCTTAAAGAAAACCATCTCTCCCTTTCCCAGTAGCTATGAGCATGAAAGAGTAGAATGTTGATAGCCACACCCAGCCTGTGGCTTTAACATTGGGCCATTAGCAATTCAGAGGAGAAAAACCATGTGGATGGCCAGTCACAGTCTGTGCCAGTGGCCAGCTGATAGGGTTGAAGAAATTATTTTCACTTGGCCTTTTGAGTGCTTCTATGTGGAATGAAGACTAGTCTTTCATGGGCAGAAGTTGTAGTTTGGGGAGTTGTGCTGGATAGCTTTAGTGTCAACTTGACACACCTGGGTTGAGGGAGCCTCAATCAGGGATTTGTCTCTATTGGACTGTTCTGTGGCCATGTCTGAAGGGGATATTCTTGACAAGTGATGTGGGAGGGCCCAGCCCACTGTGGGTGGTACCACCCCTGGGCAGGTGGGCCTGTGTTGGACAAGAAAGCAGGCTGAGCAGGGGCCAAGGGAGCAAGACAGTAAGCAGAGTTCCTCCATGGCCTATGCTCCAGATCCTGCTTCCAGGTTCCTGCCCTGAGTTCCTGCCTTGGGCTCCCTGATGAACTGTGACCTGGGAGTTGTAAGCTGAATAAACCCTTTCCTCCCCAAGTTGGTATTGGTCAGAGTGTTTTGTCACAGCAATGAAGAAACAAACTAGGACAGAAATTGGTACCAGAGAGTAGGATATTGCTATGATAGATCTGACGTTGGTGTTTTGGGGAGGACTGTGGAAGTATTTGGAGATTTGGACTGGAAATGCCATTGCGTGCTCAGAGTTTGTTGCAGTGGAGCTTGGAACAGTTATGTTGAAAGAGTTGTAGATGATGGAGGCCTGGCTTGTGAAGCTTCAAAGGGAAGTGGAGACCATCAGGGGTGTTCATGTGATATTTTGGATTGAGAATCTGTGGGTTCTGGTCGGTTGGAGCTGAAGAATCAGCTGTGATTAAGAAGAGACCAGAACCTGAAGCAAAACCTTTGCTTTACTGGGACAATTGGTGCTGGTTATCTGGGGCTGAATAATCAGCTGTGAGTAACAAGAGACCAGCATCACTGTGGTGGAGTCTTCTGGGAGGTATTTCCTCAGGGTCAGCACACTGAGGGGACCCAAGCCTCTATTTCAAGCTGTAAGCAGGACTTGGTAATGTGTAAGAGTCTCCTGCATGGTTCTGGTGTTGAAAGCGTGAAAGGGTCATAGAGAGCAGCTGAGGCTTGGCACTCTGAGAGGCCAGGAAAGGCCATAGGTGAAAGTGCAGCTTCAGTTGCAGTGAAGACCCCAGGACTGAAGGGGTCATGGAGAGAAACTGAGGCTTTGTATCCCAAGAGGCAAGAAGAGGCCATTGGTGAAGGTGTAGCCTCAGTTTCAGTGGCGACCCCAGCGTTTTGGAGATGCCGGGACCATGGGACGACCACCAAGGACAGTGGCAGGTATGGAATGGAGCTGACCTGGGCCCGCAAGATGAGCTGTGTGAGCTGTGGATGGCAGAGTCAGAGCAGTGGAGCTGCCAGGACCCTTTGGAGCCAGAAGATCATGAGTGAATCCCAGATGTCCAGCCTTGAGCTAATTTGCTGGACTTTGGTTTTGCTTAGGTGTGCCCGATTCTTCCCTTTGAAATAAGACAGTACTTGTTTTGGATTTTACAGAAGCCCACCCACAGTTGAGACTTAAAAGAGACTATGGACTTTTAAATGTTTGGATTTTTTTTAAGGACTATGGGGTTTTTAAGGTTGTACTGTCTCATGTTGTGATATTAATGTTAACATCATAGCTTGGGGACAGGAATTGGAAAGCTTATGGTTTAATAGTGATGTGTTTGTGTGTCAAGTTGACAAGGGGTCATTTGTGCTGGGTAGCTTTATGACACACCTGGGTTGAGGGAGCCTCAGCCGGGGAATTTCCTCTATTGGACTGGCCTGTGGCCATGTCTGAAGGGCATCTTCTTGATGAGTGATGTGGGAGGGCCCAGCCCACTGTGGGTGGTGCCACCCCTGGGCAGGTGGGCCTGTGTTGCATAAGAAAGCAGGCTGAGCAGGGGCCAAGGGAGCAAGCCAGTAAGCAGAGTTCCTGCATGGCCTATGCTCCAGATCTTGCTTCCAGGTTCCTGCCCTGAGTTCCTACCTTGGGCTCCCTGGTGAGCTGTGACCTGGGAGTTGTAAGCTGCATAAACCCTTTCCTCCCCAAGTTGGTATTGGTCAGAGTGTTTTTTTTTGTCACAGCAATGAAGAAACAAACTAGGACAGGAGTTAATTAGCGCAAGGCACGAACATCTTATTGCCTGACCCTCCTGCTGATACTGGTGCAGTTGATAGGCAGCTATTCCCTGGGAAGCAAGGCAGAGCACCAACGCTTGGATGACTAGTGTAACCAAGCATGTGTTATGTTCTCTGAGAAGATACTGGGTCTACCCTGAGGTGCTGGTCACTGCAGTCCCCAGCTGATCCTGCTCAAGGGGATAGTGAAATTCTGTTTAATTAGCCACTCAGAGGCTGGCCTATCCTTATAGGCACTTGTTTCTCCTATTACAGAGGATGTAGGGCCTGTGGATATCACACAGACATCCTGCTGTCCCCTCTGTACCAACACTTTGTTCTTTTAAAAGATTTAATTTTATCTAGTCCCTTTTCCTAATAAAGCTGATGATTAACTTTTTTGTGGTGGGTGAGAAGCAAGGTTCTTTTCTTTGGGGGAGAAGTATCTTTTTTAAGACAGGGTCTCTGTAGCCCCAGCTGATGTGGAATTCACAGAGATCTGCCTGTCTCTGCCTCCTCTGGGATTAAAGGCATGTGCCACCAAATCCAGCCAAGATGCAATTTTCTTGAGAGGACACCAGGAATGAACCACAGGAAGAATCTTCCATAGGCTTACCATGTGAACACATACTGAAATCAGGTTTTGGTTGTATATACCAGGTATGCTTAAAAATAAATAGCATTTTGGTAATGGGGGAGATTGCATTCTACCTTGTGATCATGGTCCATAAGATATTTTTCTGATTTTATTGGTTGGGAGGAGCGTTTGTACCACAGCATGTGTGTGGAGGTTATAGAATGACTTACAGGAGTTGGTTCTCTCTTTCCACCATGTAGATTCAGGTGATTGAACTCATGTCATCATGTTTGGCAACAAGCACCTTTACCTGTTGAGCCATCTCATTAGCCCTTGACAGTCATTTCTGAGAAAGTTCTAAATATAGAAAAATAAGTGAGAAACTTGGACAAATTGTAGCATAAACCTCTCTCAGTGCCTGACTGTCTCTTATCTGTTTCGTCCTGTTTTCCTGTCTTTCTTTCTGAAGGTTTTGTATCTTCTCTAGCTCTCTCTTCCTGTCTTTTACTGTCCTTCTTTGTGTCGCTCTTGCTATCTTTGTCTTCTCTGCCTCTCTGTCTCTGTCTCCTTCCTATCTCTGTCTACCGACATACCTGTCTTTTCTTGTCTAATCTGGTCTGTCTCTTTGTCTTTCTGTCTCTGACTCTCTGTCTCTCCCTCCCTGTGCTCCCTTCTTTCTCAGTGTAACAGATCCCTGGTTTAAGTATATCAGCACCTCTGTGCCAGCAAGCATACTCCATGGTTGATGTGGTCTGTCATTTTCTAGCCACCTCACAGGGACATGTTCCTGTAATACTCAGCTAAGGCCGTTTACCTCCTAGACTCCACCTGAGGCAGACAGGAGGAGAGCTGAGATCAAAATCAGGAAATGGTTTGCTATGACCTTGGCTGTATAGAGGTGCAAACTTTAAAAATAAGCACCAGTACTTCCAAGTTTAAGTGGCAATTTACATGAGAACTTAAGAAAGCTGCTCATCATACAGTAAATCTTACCTCATTCTTGGAAATTTGCAGTTGTGAGCCTGAGAGGATGTTGATTAAGGTTTTTGTTCAACTGAGCTGCAGAGTTCTAGCAGTGAGCCAAGCATGCTTCTGTTCTGTGGGAGCAGGGTAGGGTTGCGTGGGTGGTAGTGGTGGGAGGTTGTAGGTCTTCAGTTGAAACAGGGCCTAGTCCTACCCCATATTCTACAAGCCTTGCTCTTCCAGCGCCAGTGTCATCCAAGCAGAATGATGGTGATGTTTGCAGTTCAATGCACAAGCTACCTGTGAGGGTGTTGGTTGATTCTGCCCTGATATGGCTAGGTGAGGGAGGGGCATTTTACTGTTTTCCTCATTCCTTACCTGTTCCCAGCTATGGCCTGAACCTGAGTGAAGGGTAACCATAATCTTTGCAGATTACCAGGACAAACAGACTTCAGCCCAATGTACTCCTTGAGGACTGAGTTGAGTAAGAATTTCTCCTAATGGAACAGAACCCTGGGCCCTTAAGGCTTGTGAGTGGCCACATCAATCTCCCAGAAGCAGGAAGAGGGAGGTCCTCCACTCGAATAGTACTTTCAGCATTTAGTGGCGCAAAGTTCCCTTCTCACTCTATACAGTCTCTGAAATTCCATCTCTAAGTAGGTCTCACTACATCTGGAGGAGTTTCTTTAGCACAAACTAGAATTGGGTGTGTCTTTCCTCTACAGCCCCTGTCAGACCTGCTACAGTATACCTGCTGTTCCTGAATACTGAGTCCACATCAGGCCTACAATGAACCAGACCATGGTGACCAACTTCGTCATTTTGGGATTCTCAGAATTGCCTCACCTGCAGGTGTTATTATTCCTTAGTTTCCTCTGCCTCTACATGGCTGCCCTCTCAGGAAACCTGCTTATTGTGGTGGCTATCAGTGCCAGTCCGTCTCTGCATACACCCATGTACTTCTTCCTGGTCAACTTGGCTATGGTGGACCTCCTCTGTACCTCTACCATCCTACCCAAGCTACTGGATAGCATGGTGGGGGCGATGACCATCTCTTACTGGGGTTGCATGGCCCAGCTCTTCCTCTTCACGTGGTCACTAGGGGCAGAGCTGCTGCTCTTTTCAGCTATGGCATATGACCGCTATGTGGCCATCTGCCATCCCCTGCACTACAGTGCATGGATGGGTCCCAGGGTTTGTGCACTCCTAGCTGGGGTTGTCTGGACCATTAGCCTGACTAACACCAGTGTGAACACAGGCCTGATCCTGCCCCTACCATTCTGCAGCTCTAATTTGGTAGAGCACTTTTTTTGTGAGATTCCCCCATTATTGAAGCTCTCCTGTGCCCCGACTCACCTGAATGAGGTCATGGCCTTTGCTGCAGATGTGTTCCTGGCTGTGGGGAACTTCTCTGTGACCATCCTCTCCTATGGCTGTATTGTGGTCAGCATCTTTCAGATCCGCTCTGCTGAGGGAAAGCGGAGGGCCTTTTCTACTTGTTCTGCACACCTGATTGTAGTCACCATGTACTACTCCACTGTCATCTATACCTATATCCGTCCTGCATCTAGCTACTCACTGAACAAGGACAAGGTGGTATCTGTCATCTACACCTCTGTGGCACCCACCTTGAACCCCCTCATCTACACTCTGAGGAACAAGGATGTCAAAGTTGCACTTAGAAGACTTCTGTCCTGCTGCTGAACCTGTACGCATCACCCCCTCAGCTCTATTATGTTGGAGAGCCCCAGGTTTTGCTGAGGTTTGCTCCTATTTCTAAGGATCCACCAAGGACCAATCCTGAGAAACCAATGGAGACAACTGTGACACTGCTTCATTTCAATTAGGAGAAGCCCTGTGATGTCCACGTAGGATCAGAGGATCCATGTGGCTGTGAATTGTAATGGCAAAATGAATCCAATGTGGGCACAACTTTTGCTCCCTATCTCTCTGCTCTCAGGAGCAGGACTTTTCTGGTGAACACTGTTTGTGCCTATATTGTGTCTTTATCATCAAGAGTTGCTTAATCTTGATTATAGCTGGCATGTAGGTAGGGGACGTGGGGATATGGGAGGATCTGGCAGTTGTAGGACATTTGTTTTTTACTGAAGTGAAATCTCTAAAAATGATTAACTTTCAAATTTTAATATCTTTGAATAAAGTAGTTTTTTTCAAGGCTCTTGACAAGTCTGTGACATGCATGTGCCATAGGCAGCGTATAAAAGGACAAGCCCTGCTTCTTCCTTTTCTTATGTCCAGTGAGCACCAACAAAGCCAGTCACTGATTTCCCTATCAGAACTGTCTCTTACTCCCAGAGGGTTTCAGCACCAGGTAGGGTGCTGGAAGCAAGAGGATCCTTGGGACCCACATCCTGATCACTTCCACTGAGCAGTAACCTAGAAAGGCTGGGTACAGACTGGACAGCCCGTGTTAATATGCAGATGGACATGGCCATGAAAGGAACCATATGAGGGAATGGAGCTCTTAGTCCTTCTGGGGCTGCTAACTTCTGGAACAAATTCTCATACGATCCAGTGACCTTATGTGCCCTTTCACCCCTCATATTGCCTGGGCAGTTTCACAGTCCAGGGCTATCTTATGACCAAACTCTAGGGACTGTTGCTTCAATGGTGGATGCTCTGCCATCCCCACATTGACTTGTCTGTCCACTTCCTTTTGGCTTGGCTGTCCTCTTTCTGGTGCTTTATGTGTCTCTTCCATGGTGGGTTGTCTGTCCCCCTCTACATTGGCCTGTCTATCCCTTCCATATTGGATGCTCTGCCCCCCTCTCTTGTCTTGTCTTGTCCTTCCTTTTGGCTTATCTATCTCTTCTATATTGTGTTCTTCCTGGTGACATGTCTGTCCCTCCATGTTGACTTGCTGTCTCCTCCCTTTTTGCTTTTCTCTTCTCTTTCTGTTGGCTTACTTGTCCTCTCCATTTGGTTGTTTGCCTCTTGGTAACGCCTGTCCCTCTATTGACCCGTGTGGCCTCTCAATGTTAGCTCGTCTTCTTTTTTGGCTTATGTGCCACTTCCTTTTAGACTTGTTTATCCCCTCTCTGTTCGCCTTTTTGCCCTTCCTTGGTATGTTGTCTGTTCCATTCAGACTGATACGTTTGTCCCTCCGTGTTCACATGTGTGTCCCTTCCATGTTGATTTATCTTTTTCCCTCTATGCTGGATTTTCTACCTCTTCTCAACACTGAGTTTTCTTTCCTTCCATGCAGACAAAAGCTCTTTGTCTAAGTACTGATAATAAAGAAATTTACATGCTGAATTAGGGGGGAAAATCAGCATATGATATATGCCATAAATTAAATAAAAATCATTTTTTTGTTTTTGTCTTTTTGAAACAGGGTCTCCTTGTAGCCCCAGCTGGCCTGGAACTCCCTATGTAGATCAGGCTGGCCTCTAACTTAGAGATCTGCCTGCCTCTGCCTCCTGAATGTTTGGAGTAAAGGCATGTGCCACCACACCTGGCAACAAACAAACAAACAAACAACTTTAATTGTTAAATATTTCTTAGTAAAACTGGGAAAATATATTGTTATCAGAGGGCTCGATAAAATGTTCACTAAATTTTTAAGCAGTTACAAAAGAGAACTTTGGTGCTTTTGTTGAAAACTGAATGTGGTTTATAAGTGTGGGATTTTTATTCTTTCGTATATCTGATGGGACAGTGTCACACTATCCTAATTACTGTAAATTTTAGTAAGTTTCGGCTGATAGCAGCTTTGTAATTTTGTTTCTCAAAATTTATTTGACTGTTCTTTTTCTTTACGTTTCCATGAAAATTTAAAATCAATTTATAGATTTCTAATTTAAACAAGTTATTTGAATTATGATTAGGATTGCACAGATTCTATTGCTATCTTTGGGAAAAAATAAGATGTTAATGAATGAACATACATATTAGTTTGTTTGATAATTAAAAATATAATATTTCTAATTTTCACTGCAGAGTTTTTATCCATCTTTTAGCATGTATATTTCTAGATCCCTGATGGTTTTATGATATTTTAAAGGCATCAGTCCTAGGTGCGGTTGAGCATACCTGTAATCTGAGTACTTGTGAGGTGGAGAATTTCTGTGAGTTTTGAGGCCAGCCTAGGACACATAGCAAAATCTTGTCTCAAAAATTCCCAAACAAATCAATTAATAAAAATCTATACTTGCATATTATGTATGTGGCCCTGGGTTCAATCCTCAGCACCACAAAAAGCAAAATATTGAAAGAGACTTACTCAACCACAAGCTGGGCATGGTGGTGCATGTCTGTAAACTCAGGACTAGTGAGGTAGAGGCAGGGATCTGGAATTTAGGGTTACATAGTGAGTTCAAGGCCAGTTTGTGCTGATGAGATCCTGTGTCAAAAGAAAAAAGAAAAAGGTATTGATTTTCAAATTCACTTTTTCAGTATCTATCACTGATATATAGATATATAGGTTCTGGTCATCTAGTGGGTACCTTTGCCATAGCTCCACTGGGGGAAGGCTCTCTCATGCCTGCCTAACTTTGAGGAAGGTGATAGCTGCTATCTGCCAACTCTGGCCTAATTCCCTGGGGAGGATGTCCTCGCCATGCTGACTGGCTCTTATGGAGTCCTCTGTGGGCTATAGTACTCCTAGTTCATGGGATTTAGGATTTATGAAGTCTTCCAAGGAACTAAAGTCCCTGTGGGTTAACATTACTTGGTGACATCCCACGGTAGATCTTTCTCCAGAAGCCATTATTGTTGCAAGTTCACCCCACTTTGGGAATTGGTACCCTTGGATAAATAGTGAGGGAGAAAGGACATGCCAAGGGGGGCGTGAAATCTTGGCAGGGTTCAGGAAAGTCTGAAGTTCTGAACAGACCACAGGAAATCCTCTCATCTATATCTAAGGAATAAGACATCAACCTGATCCCTCAAGAAAATCTTCACAGTTTTAGTAGATGAACTAATTGCATTTTTAATGGCGAGAGAAAAGTGATGGCTTCAGGAATCTAAAAACTCTTTTCATAACCCAAAGTGTATTCATTAAGTACCATCTTTTATTGGCAAATGAAAAAAAATTCAGGTGATCCATAGTGTCTCCTGTTTAGAATCAAGTGTTGTAGATAGTCTTCAATTAGAATAAAGAAAAATAGAGTACCTTGAAAACTCTTTGGTATGTTGCAAATGTAGAGTTTGAGGAAAATTTTATATTAACTTTATTATATTTCATGATAAGGCAATGTAGAAAAGCAACATAGTACAAACATGGTCTATATATAGGGACAATATCCAGACACATACTCGTGTGGCTTTTGTTAAAGCCCCATCACCCAGAACTTTGTATTGTGATACATCTCCCCTAAGTTCCCCTTACTAAGTGGTGGGCTGTAGATAAACAGTATTTTCCTCTGGTAACTGTCCCAGAGTTGCATGGGGAATGTGGGCCTGTACTGCAGAGCACCCTGGAAGAAGAGGGAATTTTGCTAGTATGGCAGTATTAGAGAAGGTACATGATGGAAAGGGGACATCAATATTTTGGGGAACTGCAGGTGGAGAAGGAAACTAATGCTATGGGGCTGTGGCATGCATAAGTAAATCTAGGAGTGGATGGATAGTGAGTGGCTCAATGGCTTTGCTATCATGTTATTAATAATGACACAAGGACCCACTGGAGAACTTGACAGGCACTACAGGGAATGGAGGCCTTTTCCTGGATGTCTACAAAGTAGATTGTCTTCCTGCTCAGTGTCAGTGATGGCTACTCTCTACCTTAGAAGAACCAGGTGATTGCCCCTGAGATCTCAGGACATTGTCTTTGTCAACATTCTGTATTTTACATAGGCTACAAGGGAAACTGGACCACCTGTGAGACAGTGTTACACTCACTAGGGGTGAGGATTTGGCTCCATTTCTTTTCTTTGACATTATTCCTTTTAGGGCTCAGTGGTCAGTGTAGGTGACACGCCCAGCTTGTTACCCAAGGATCACCATAGAAAGATTTAGCTTCACCAGACAGGACCTTCCTCTAGCCAGGGGTGATGAGAGGCCCCAAAATATTTGGGATACTCTTAGGAAGGAGGAAAGGGAGTGATTTGGAGAAGAAAGCCAATGGCTACTGCTACAGATCCCAGCTAACCTTCACTCCATCACCAACATGGTCTTCACCAAGAGGTACATCTGAGACTGTATCAGAAAACAATGGCAACAGTGATTGCTGATGAGATTCATCACAAAAACCACTTTCCTCATAAAGATGAGTGTCTTTGGTTGAATCTGTCTTCAAACTGCTACACCATACAAGGTATTGGAAAGTAAAATGGACCCATTGTTACTGGATGAAACAAAGATACAGGATAAAAACTATTATTGAAGAAAAGACGTGGGAGAGTGGGAAAAGGTACAACTGGAAGCAAATGTAAAGGAAAAATGAGGGCATGCTACAAGAATTAACCCAAGACTGACTTTGCCTGCCAGGAAAACTCAAACCATACTTATGATGTGGAGGTAGCTATTAGTTATTACGCCTGGCCCCAGTCTGAGTTTCTGCTAGGGGAACTGAGGCATGGATGAGAAATACATACAGGTTTTTATAGGATTTTCACGTCATTCCTTGGCAGTAATCACATTGGTGGATTAGAGATTTCCAGCATAAAAATAGGGTAGCCTTTAGGCTATTATAGGAAATTTAAACAGTCAGAATTTTTACAAAAAAGGTATTTTGGGCAAATGTGTGGTTGTGATATTTCCCAGTAACATGCTGATGCC